TTAATGGTAAATTACACATTGGAAAACTTGAATACATAATAATAGAAACTATCCAAAATGAAATATGGAGAAAAAAAGAACAAAAATGAAGAGCATCAGTGAGCCATGGGACAACTTCAGGTGGCTTAATATAAGTGCAATGGAAGAGAAAGAGAAGATATAGAAGTAAAACTATTTTCAAATATAATGGCCACGATTTTTATAAACTTGATAAAAACTATAAAACACATATCAAAAAAAGCTAAAAACAACAAACAGCCTCAACAAACCCTAAGCATTGAAAACATGAAGAAAATTACATAAAGATCCACCATAATTATTCAAAACCATTAAGAAAAGAAAAACAAAAAATGAAGGGAAAAATATGTGATGTACAGAGAAATAAGGATAAGGATGAGTGCAGTTTCTAGGTGGAAACAATGAAAGTGAAAATACAGTGAAGCAACAACTTTATAAAACTGAAAGAAAAAAGTGTTAACCTAGAATTCTACTCTAAGCAAAACTATTTTTCAAATACAAAAGTAAAATAAAAACCTCTTCAAAAGTGTACAAGCTGAAATAATTCATCACCAGCTGACCTGCACTGTAATAAATGATAAAGTAAGGTACTCAGGCAGAAGGAAAATAACATCTGCATCTATACAAAAGAATGAAAAACACTGAAAATGGTAACTACTGGGTAAATATTTTTTCTTATTATTTAAATATATTTTAGATAACTGGCTGCTTAAACAAAACTGTACTTTAGGTTTTATGACATGTAAAACATATAAGTAAAATATATAACAACTACTGTAAAGTTCTTATACTACATGTGAAGTGACACAATTTCACTTAAAGATAGGCTGTGGTAAGTTAAAGATGTATACTTTAAATACTAAGGCTACCACAAAAATAACTAAACCAAAGAATTACAGCTAATAAGACAAAAAAGGAAGTAAAGTGGGATTTTAAAAAATTTAATCCAAAAGAAGATAGGATACAAGATTAATTTACAAAAGCCAATAACTTCCTTACATGCTAGCAATGAACTGAAATTTCAAACTAAAAACATAACTACATTTACACTAGCACCACAAAAAAAAAGAGAGAGATACTGAGGCATAAACCTAACAAAGTATGTACAAGATCTATATGAGGAAACCACCAAATGCTGATTAAAGAAATCAAAGAAAATCGAAATAGAGAGATATTCCATGTTCATGAACAGGAAGACTCGACATTGTCAAGATGTTGGTTCTTCTCAACTTGATATATAGCTTCAATGCAATCCCAATCAAAATTCCAATCAGTTTATAGATATGGACAAACTGATTCTAAAGTTTATATAGAAAGGCAGAAAAACAAAAACCCATAATAGTCAACACAATATTGAAAAAAACACACACCAAAAACAAACAAACAAACACCACCACCAAGTTGGAAGACTGAAACTACCCAACTTCAAGACTTACTATCAACACTACAATAATCTATAAAGTGTGGTATCAGTCAAAGAATAGATAACTAGATCAGGAACAGAATAGAGAGCCCAGAAATAGACTCACGTAAATATACTTATGTCTCTTTCCATAATAGTCAGTTGTTTAAAACTTAAAAAACTACTTCATCATTAAATAAAAAACATTTGATGACTCTATATAAGTCAGTGCACTGGGTACTCAAAGGGGATAATTGGATGATATAGGGTAGATGTCAAGTAATACCCTTGATAATGATGAAGTGTATTGGCAGGTGTAGTTTACTTTGCTAGAGTATAAAAAGGCTTAGAGGATGATTAAACAGGAAGGCAAATTTTAGGTCATAGAGAGCTCTTGCCAGAAAGCTTTTAAAAAAAAATAGCAAGGTTAATATGTCAGAATTTCAAACAGAATAAGCCAAATACCAGTTCTTAAAGTTAAATTCTTTTATAATCTTCTCATTTAATAGACTGAAATATATTAAATCTCAATGGGAGAATATGAGATTAGGGAAGAGCTCATTTTAAATAGTGGATTCCAAGACACATTTACTCAGAGTATGACTTCTGTATGACAATTATGGAAACACACCGTCCCAGTATCACCTAATTGAACTATTTCTCCTGAGTTTATAGACTTCACTGGATTATTCTAAAATTCATCAACTTTGGCACACTCCACTCAAGGACCAGGAATCTCTGGCTGTTACGCCTCAAATGGAATAAGACTCCTGGAGAAATTATTTTGCTACCACAACTATTTCAGTGTGGTTCTAAGCGGTGAGTCCCAATATTTGCCAAATTCTCTGGTTTGATCTCATCTGAGTGAACCCAAAATATAGCAAAATAGCACCTCTATTTCCTGGCTATAATTGATTGTCCAATATTCCTCCAAAAGGATGGATGCCTACTTTTATGTTTTAGAAACTTCTGGCCTCCAGTTCTTCAGCTAATATGTGATATTAGGTACAAACAGGCACAAGGAAGACCCTTTCTAATCTCCATCACTGCTGCACCCACTTTCACTGAAAAAATCATAAAGAAACCCTTAGAGTATTTACAGCTTTTACATATCTAATCACAGTTATGGATCAAATTACATGAGCTTGAAAGTTCCTCCACAATTAAGGGTTCCATAAGGAGAAAAGTACACAGCACCTCTTTCTACTTGCACTTCTGTCTACAATCTATGCCAAAGCTCTTTCTCCTGAGCCCTCTCTTCATTAGAGAAGCAAAATTCTTTCTGTCGAGTTTCTCAAGGTCCTTACATCCACTTCAGGCTTAAAGTACATTCCAGTCAGCCAACGACATCCATGCAATCTGAAAAGCCTTCAACTGAAATTCCCCCTGAATCACCTCTTCTAAAGCTTCCAAACTTTCTTTTGTTGCTTCTGGCCTTTGTTAATTCAATCTTAGCTTTTGTTTCTAACTCATTCCTTTTCCCCATATTATGGGGTTCAACAATGTAGTTTTGCTTTCTTTTAACAGAATAATCTTAGGCCCCTTTACATTGAACATAAGATAACATCTACTTGTACTTCAAACAGATATATACAATTTCACATGGAGGTTGTTCTTCACACAGTTCAATGAGTTTCAGAATAACACTAAACATCTCAAAAGTCTCAAAAATATGAGTGTAGCATTCCTTACAGATTATATTCTAGATTTATATCCTCGTGTTTAGCTAAATGAAAAGCAGGGACCAAACCAAAAGACACTCCAGATGTCTTCTTTGAATGAGTTCAACTTGTACAAAAATTTTTGGACAAGATACACTGCAGCTAAGCACAGATGAAAGCCATAAAGAAACAGGAAATGCTTGAATCACAGTCATAGCATAAATAACCTTCAGGAATTCATTTCCCGACAACTCACTCCATTCATATCTTAATGCTGAGTTTAGGAGAATACTATTAAATAAGAGAGACTAAGAATAGGCAATTATAAAATGCCTATTTTAAATTATTTTTATACATATGATATAACATATCCCTATGGTCAATATATTTTATTATCTATACTAATAAAAGGGTAATATGCTAATTAGACTGGACATCTTCTGGACGTCCTTCCTGACAAAGCCGGGCCAGAGCAGTGCAGCCTGGGTCCCGGGTGCCTGCGGCTGGCCTGGGCAAAGCCAGCCCAGTTCCCGGGTGCCTGCAGCTGGCCAGAGGGAGGGAAGCCCGGGTCATGGGTGCCTGCAGCTGGCCAGAGGGAGGAAAGCCTGGGTCCCAGGTACAGGCACCAAGGCAGAGGCAGTTAGGGTTGATCAGGCAGGCAGGCAAGCAGTTAGGGGCAATCAGGCAGACGAGTGAGCAGTTAGGGGTGATCAGGCAGTGGTTAGGGGCAATCAGGCAGGCAGGCGAGCAGTTAGGAGCCAGTGGTCCCAGATTGCGAGAGGGATGTCCGACTGCTGGGATAGGGCCTAAACCAGCAGTCGGACATTCCCCAAAGAGTCCCAGATTGCGAGAGGGTGCAGGCCGGGCTGAGGGACCTCACCCCCCCCCCCCGTACACGAATTTCGTGCACCACGTCTCTAGTTATAATAATAATAATTTATTGAACATAATACATAAGAGCCACTTTATGCAGGTTATTTAATTCAACACTCACAATAATCCCAAAGTATTACTGTAATCATTCCCATATTACAGAGGAAAAAACAGAGTCCCCCAAAGCTTTAGTGACTTACCTCAGTTACTCTGCCAATAGGTGGCAGAGCAATATATTCAAACCGAAATCTGTCCGGCTCCCAAATCTGTGCCCTTTCCAGTAGGATGCACTCCCTTTCCATTTGAGTCTTTATTACTAGTCTAGTACTTTGGAAAATTCCTCACACATGGGGCCTGGACTAATACACTGGAAAAACACTTGGGAGCCTAGACGCTAGCTGGTGTGTGACCTTGACCTTATCATGTTCCTTTTGTCGGCTTTCTTTTTCTCATCTATAAAATGAAGAGTTTGGGTAGTTAACATCTATGGGCCCTTCCAGCACCAATGTTCTACCACAGTATGAGTTTATATTATAGATGATGCAAAAACATGAAAGAAGGGGGAAGAATGAGAGACAGAAGGGTTAACTGGGCAGTAGCAACAATATAGCTACACAAGTCTGGGATTGAGGAAGACAGAAAGAAATGAAATAAAAATCGCTTTATAGTATTATATTCCCAATATGAATAAAAAGCCTTTATATAGTACATATAAAGTTAAATAAAAGAATTTTTTTATCAGCCCTAACCGGTTTGGCTCAGTGGATAGAGCGTCGGCCTATGGACTGAAGGGTCCCAGGTTTGATTCTGGTCAAGGGCATGTACCTTGGTTGTGGGCACATCCCCAGTAGGGGTTGTGCAGGAGGCAGCTGATTGATGTTTCTCTCTCATAGATGTTTCTAACTCTCTATCCCTCTCCCTTCCTCTCTGTAAAAAATCAATAAAATATATTTTAAAGAAAAAGAATTTTATCAAGTAGACTCACCTATTTAAATTTAACCATTATTTGCAATAAAATACAAAATACATACAGACATGAGAAACCATCAGACAAATCCAAATACAGACATGCTTTGAGTCTTGTTTTTTTCACAAGGTTCTGGAGAGTTATAGCGGTTCCCCTCATATACACAGAAGTGGGGGGTTGGCACTGCCAGGTGTGGTGCAAGAGAACTGATGAAGTCCCTGGAAAGAGTGGCAGAGAAGAATAGTTTGTATCCAACACAGCTCTCCTAGAAAAGACAATGACTGGGAGGGTTTCTTTTGTTTTGCTTTCAATATTCAGGCCAGCAAGATCAGTCTGTGCATAATACAGTGATTTAAAACCTTCAGAATACATGGCTCCTCCTTATTCAGCCAAGGTTCTTCAATCAGATTTCCTGATTCTTCCTCTGTTTTCTAAAACGATGAGAAGAACCAAGTGCCTCTTGGTTTAGTTGCCATCGCTAAGAGGCAATAGGAGATGCACGCAGACACGCTCATGGGAAAACTTCACAGGCGGGGAGGTGAAAGGGCACGACACTGGCTGGGGCGGACAGACAACCAGCAGCGAGAGCTCTCTGGGCCTGGGGAGACCTACTGATCTGAGATACTCATCTGTCAGACATGAGAAGGGGCCAAATGTCTAGGCTGTGAGGGAGCACACAGGCTCTGCTTCTCCATCTTCAGCTCTCTAGATAGAGAAATAGGTTTTATGTGGAAAAAGAAAGAAAAAGATGAGCAGCCTGGCAAAAGAACCTAAGACAAATCAAATCTTCCACAGGATGTTTGCAGACAAAAAGGCTGAGGAATGTAGAGGGGGAGGGAAACTCCCCAAGGAGAAAGGGAGGGGAAAAATTAAAGCCATCAGCTCTGACATTTGCCAAGCAGGGAGAGTTAGAACACTGTTCAAACGGCCTGTAAACCAGGTAAAAGTGACTGTGGATTCTGCCAGAGTCCACACACCCTAACAACACCCACCACCAAGGCTGCCACCCCTGAGTTCCCACTGACGACTGCAGCTGCTTCTCAAAGCCCCTGGAAGCAACAGAAGAAGACAGTGCCAGCTGCAAGGACGGGGCTTAGGCGAAGACTTGGCATGAACAGACGTGTAGCCAAAAGGCACAAATCTGAAGGCAGAGAGACCATTTTCCGGTGTGGCTTGTGTATGTGGTACAAGGGGAGCTCCCAATAAGAGTGAGCCAAAGTTCTGGCCTTGACTGCTGGGAGGCCTTGGCAGGCCGGCCTTTCTCATGGCAGGCAGGCCAGGAAACGAAGCTCTCAGCTGTCTCCTGCAGTGTTTGCCTCACTGTCACCGTGTTCATGTTCAGCCCCTGGCTCATCTGTTTTCTTCTTCTTTGGGGATTAGCACGTAAGTGTGGACAAAATCCATTCTGGTTATTCAAGACTGTGTCATTTCCTCCCACGCCGTATTTACCCACTGGGGACTTCAAGAACATGAAATCCTGACAGGGGTACAAAACAAACTGCAGAATGAGATGATCTGCAAGGGACCTCAGAGACCATCTAAGGCAGCCTCCTCTTAAAGACGGGGGAGCGAGGAGTCATAGGAGAAAGAAGTAAGGTGATCTGTAAAATCACACTAACGTTTCGAAAGCAGCAAAGTCAGGGCAAGTGTCCAGCTGTCCCGTTCCCATCCAGCCAGTGTCCTGCCTGCAAAAATCAGTGCTCCTTTCGGCTCCGTCTCAGCTGATATGCTAATTTCCCCCCCAACACACCCTTTCTTTAGGAGGACTTGATGAGAATTGTAATGCATTCTCTCTCCCTCTGTTTTCTGATAAAAAATTCACATGTAAGTTTAAGCAATTATCCAAAATGCTAGATCTTGAGAAAAAGGAACTTGGAAACTTATATTACTAATAGCATTCAGAGAAAATAGCATTCACAGAATGCATGCCATTAAAAACTAGCTACATAGCTCAGCCGGTGTGGTTCAGTGGTTGAGCTTCAACCCAGGAAACAGAAGGTCACTGGTTTGATTCCGTCAGGGCACATGCCCAGGTTGTGGGCTCAACCCCCAGTAGGGGGTGTGCAGGAGGCAGCCAATCAATGGTGTTTCTCTCTCGTTGATATTTCTATGTCTCTATCCCTCTCCCTTCCTCTCTCTCTCTAAAAAACTCAATAAAAACACATATCTTTAAAAATACTAGCTACATAAACTTAGAGTTTGATTTTCACTTATATATAACTAGAGGCCCGATACACGAAAATTCATGCAAGAGTTGGCCTTCCTTACCCCAGCTGCCGGCATTGGCTTTCCTCCAGCCCCGGCTTCGTCAGGAAGGACATCCGGAATGATGTCCAGAAGATATCCAGTTTAATTAGCATATTACCCTTTTATTATTATAGATTGCCATGATTATTAAATCATGAAGTAATGTTGCTATCCAAAACAATTGTGACCTCAGTTTATCTTGCCTCATTGATTGACAAAGTAGCAGGTTAATTTCAGGTCTTGGAGACATTTTTTAAATTAAATTAAGCAGGTACTTTTTGGAAAAAATAGTGTTTCTAGCTCAAGAAACAAATTTAAAAATCAGAAGAGAATATCTTCACTTGAAAGTAAATAAAAAAAACCCACAAAAACAATGAAATGTTATTTATGATAAAACTGAACCTGGATTACAAAAATTATTTCACAATTTTTCCCTTTTTGCCAATGGAAATAACTTCTGATACTAAGAAAGATTTACATTCTCAGAAATAGGTAACCTCTAAAGGCTTAGAAGAGTCTGACTCTGAAAGGGAGTGTGTGAGTGCGGAGGGGTAGGTGGACATATGTCAGTTTACAGGGAACATCATAATAAAGCAATCTACTTTCCTCAAATGAGTTTCTTCAACTAAAGTTTTCAGTGCGATGGAAACCATGTTATATAATATTAAGAGAACAAAAACCGTCACCTCTTTTTGCTGCATCTACTGTGAAGATACCATTCTCAACAATCAGGCTGTGGAATCTCAGAAAATGAAGCGACCACAGTTGTGAAGGGTCCCAGAGGAACCCTGAGGAGGGGCTTTAGTCACATCAACGTAGAACTCAGTCTCCTTGAAGGAGGCTCCAGGCTGGCAAGTGGTGGGGAGTAGAAACGACTGGCTATGGTTCACGCTATCTGCAGTCACGTACTGAACATGACCAAGGGCCTGCCGTTGGGCTTCTGTTACCAGATGAAGCCTGTGAACGCCCGCTTCCCCAGCAGCATCGTTATTCAGAACAGAGCTCTGTTGAAATCCAAAATTTCCTGTGGAGTAAAACATACCCAAGGTATCTCAAGCCCAGAAAGATGAGTTAATTCTTGAAGGAAACAACATTGAACCTGTGTCAAATTCTGCTGCTTTAATTCAGCAAGCCATGATAGTTATAAACAAGAATATCAAAGTGTTGGGATGGTACTATGTCTTTAAAAAAACAAAACAGTTCAGCAGGCTGATAAATAAGATCTAAAAATTGTCCAGCTATGGAAACAAGATGCTGAATGGCTCCAAAGCTATTTTAAAGATGTAATAAATGCCTTTTATTGATTGGGGTGGGATGGAGGAGACACTTGACTAGGGAAATTAGCTAACTTTTCCTTCCTTCTGTACATTTTCATCTAACAGATATTTTTTAAGTGTTTACCCTTGCCAGTTTGGCTCAAAGGACAGAACATTAGCCTGGGTACCTAAGGGCCCTGGGTTCGACTCCGGTCAAGGACACATACCTAGGTTGCAGACTCAATCCCCGACCTTGGTCTGGGTGAGTGTGGGAGGCAACCAAATCAATGTGTCTCTCTCACATCGATGTTTCTCTCTGTGTGTCTCTCCCCCTCCCTTCCTTTCTCTCTAAAAAAAAAAAAATCAATGGAAAAATATCCTCTGGTAAGGATTAACAACAACAACAAAAACCACTATTCAATTCTGGGAATATGGAGATTAAAGACACTACTTCCAACATAAAGGAACTGAAAGTTAACTGGGGGAAACCAAAATGTTCATGGACTGCCCCAGACCAGCACATCAGTGATAAAGGATACTTTGGGAGCTCCTGGGGGGGGGGGGGGGGGGTTACAAGGCCAGCCTGGAAGGGTCAGGAAGGCTAACTGAAGAAGGTGCTGAGATGAAGGAAAGCAAGAATTAACCAGGCTTTAAAAAAACAAACAAAAAAAGGCAACTCCCTCTTCTAATATTCTTTATGTCTTCTTACCTAACAGATTAGTACTTGTTTCATAAGAGGATTTGATCTAGTCCGTAAAACTTTTGAAGAAAAAAAATGACATTATTACTGTTATGTCAAAATAAGATTTTTAACAGAGTACTAGAACATATTAAATATCAGATGATAAAGACTTAAAACAAAGTAGACATTAATGTTAAAGTGACGCGCAGACATGAGAGAGCATGGTCACTCTTCAGAGTGACCCGGGAGCTTTGTCTCCCACATTTACATAGAGCACTAGCTGGATGCCAGCATCGTGCTGGGTGCGGCCGCAGATGCAATGAATACAGTGAATATAATGAATAAAGCTGGACTCTCTCGTCAGAGAATTTATCATCTCACTTTACCTGTCCGTTCCTTCTCAGGGAGAGAGAAAGGTCTAGAGCAGCAGTTCTCAAAATTTTTGGTCTTGGGGCCCATTCATACTCTTAAAACTATTAAGAATTCAAAGAGCTTTTACTTATGAGGCATGTGTTCACCATATTAGAAATTAAAACTGATGAATTTTTGAAGCACTTATTCATTCATGTAAAAGTAAGCTAATAAACACATAACATCTTAAGAAAAATGATGTATTTTTATAAAGAGAACTACATTTTCTAAAATAAAGAAGCTTAGTGGAAGAGTGGTATTGTTTCACATTCTTGTAAATCCCTTTAACGCCTGGCTTACTAGCTGAGAGTTAGAACCTGGTAGCTGGTTTTTCATTCAAGGTGTTATAATATCATACTTCACATGTCCCCTTAAAACTCCACTACACATTCACGAGGAAATGAGAACACAAAAGGCATGTGATGTCTTCATGTTATGATGAAAATATTATGACCTCACACACACCCTTGCAAGGATTTCCTGGGACCCTCAGAGATCTCAGACCACATTTTAATAATCACTCATCGATAGAAATAAAAGTAACGTTCAAAACTTGGTTAATAAAGAGTGTGAACTCAAGCTTACTTTGAGATTCTGACCTAGGGATATGTTGCAGTAACATCTTTCATTACTTAGCCTGCTAATTCTAAGAGTGGACTCTTCTTGTAACTGAGACAACCCAGGTTGCATGAATGGGTCGGTGGACCCTCTCTGTCACCTCGAAAGGCCGGGTGGGTCTTGGCACAATGAGGAGGGTGACCATATGGCTCCCTGGCCTGGGACATTCCTGGTTTGTTCCTGTTATCCCAGAGTAATTATTAGTAGAGCCCCTTCCCTCTCAAAAGTATCCTCGTTTGGGTGATAAATTATATGGTCACCCTGACAATGCCTTGCAAAAGCAGTGCGAGATGCTGCTTCTTCCCCTGTTGTGGGCAGGCCTGGAGGCAGCCATGCTGCATTTGGTTTACACGGTGATACTGCACCAACTTCTCCTAAAAGGCAGCCAATCATGGGAGAAACTCCTCCTGAGCCCTTGGTTTCTGTGTCTTCGTTGCTTTCCTAAACTGTTGACAACAATCACCCCTGACAGTTCCATCTGACAGACAGCACGCGCTGCTTGTCTTCTCGCGATGACCTAGCTCAGAATCTGAAGCATAGGGTGTCACTTTGCCCAACTGTTTCAAATTGGTTAGACTATAACCTATAGATTGAGGGCTACAAATTCACCAGACTGGGTTAACCACGAGGCTAATAAAACACTAGGCAAAGCCTAACACATAGATTCAGCCAATCACCAGAAATTGAGGCAATTCAGTAGGACAAGAGACTTCTTTGAAAAAGTCTTAAGCCTACCAGGCCGAACCCGGTGAGCATGGCAGGGGGTATGAAAAGGACTGGAAAAGAAGTGCTGTAAATTCTGATGAGTGAACCTTGGGGCTGACATGAATTTGGCTTTGCATCCCCAAGTGGCAGAGAAACCTCAGCAGTCACCAGTGCTGTTGGAGAGTAGGGCAAAATTATAAGAACATTTTTACGAGTTGTGGCTGGCAAGCCCTCGCCTGTTAAAACTCTTCAAAAACCAATGCCTTGGTGGAGGTAACAGTTACTGTTTACTGTAGCTCTGGTTGTCAGGGGTTACTGCGAAGGTCCCAGCTTTCCATGACATCAGCAGCATTCCAAGGGAAGTGTGTGTCAGTGACTTTCAGTAATGACTCCCTTTTCCAAACGTTCAAAGCCCCTGCCAAGCTGCCCTACACCTGCGCACCAGCTGAGTTAGAGGAAAAGGAAAAGTAAGATGGATTAAGTGGGATTTTTGTCTGGGTTCCTTAATGAGGCTAAAGGCTTTCTTCTTGCAGTGTTTGATTTTGTGTAATAAATTGATGCCAATCCCTTTAGGAGTGACGTGACTCATCCTTAACTTTACATAAACCAGTCCTGTCGTGACCTCTCGCTGTCATAGTCGGGACTAGCCTTTTCTGCAGGAAAAGTTGGGGGCTCCGTGAGATGATGAACATGGTATGCTGACACTCCAGAAGGGTTTCTGAGGGAGGCATTTGCTGCTCCCCAAATTCGCAAGCAACAGAAGCAGGGAGGAGACGATACTGCGTAGCTGCTTTAAGGATCTACCTGGATTTCAACATTTCAAACCAGCGGTGTATTCTCAGAGCAGCAGCAGGTCCCATTCCAGACACTGTCCCCACCAAAATGGGGGTCTGGTCGACCTACTCCCAGGGTGCCCACAGCCCACTCAAGAAACTTGCGACAGGTCGTGGGGCCAGTGCTAATGGTGTGCTTATACAAGACCTTTCCTCCCCAAGGTTCACACATTTTATCAACATTAAATTCATCACTGTTCGTGACAACCCTCCGAGAGGTGGCAAATATTAGTTCAGGTGGGAAAAACTGGGGGTAGGGTTGCGGAGAATGAAGTCCTCTGCCAAGAGTGAGGCAGTAGGCCAGCCCTCAGAGCCTACTTTTACCCCCGAGACAACTGACCCCTTTCAGGGCTCCCTCGGTTCTGGGAGGCTACCAACCTTCTGTCCCAACCTAAGGGCTGTGAAAAACAAGCATTGCTGTTAATGAGGCAAAGCCTGAAGCAGTCAAAGGAAAACAGGACAATTTTATGTAAAGACAGAGAGGAATCCGGCTGGTATGGCTCAGTGTTTGAGCGTCAACCCAGGAACCAAGAGGTCACTTTTTCGATTCCTGATCAGGGCACATACCCAGGATGTGGGCTCCATCCCCAGTGTGGGGAGTGCAGGAGGTAGCCAATCAATGATGTCTCTCTCACCAATGTTTCTATCTCTCTATCCGCCCCCCCCCCCCCTTAAAAATAAATAAAAACTTTTTTTTAAGGCACGGAGGAATGTCCTCTTCAGGGTTTTGATGAGAGTGACTTATGCATCCATATCCGCTTCTCTGAACAACACCCGGCAGAGCATCCATCTGTACCGCAGTCTCCCCATCTATACAAGCTTGAAAAATGCCATTTAGAGGATCTCCAAGAGACACTTGGAAATTGTCATAACCAATGTTTTGAACTGCACAAGTCTTTGAGGAGGATCTCCAAAGTGCTCCAAAGTGCCCTCTTTTTAGTACATTGTACAGCTCTAGAAAAATTCTCTTTAATTACTGGTATATTTGTTCTTAAGAATTAGGAATAACTTAATATGCCTTCAGGTGATTTTTTTAAAAATAAAAAGCCTCTATAATTACAAAAAATATTCATCTTCATCTTGCAGAAACAACAGGAATTTCTTCTTTTAAAGCGGTAGGGGTGGCAGCCTCTGTGGTGCAGGGCAGCCACAGACAATGTACTAACAAAAACGGCTGTTTTCCCAATTTCTCTTAGGCTTCACCAAAATGCAAACATGAACCAGTACTAGAGGGGTCTTTTCATTCAACCACAGATTGCCAGTGGGATGGGAAAACGCACCACTTGAATTAAACTATGAAAATCTGTCCAGTGTAATCTCACATCAGGTCTTGAGCCTCAGTTTGTTTAAATAATTTTTAAAAGGGGCATTTTACAATTATGGCTTGTTAACAAGAGACCGAGCTAGTACCAATTAGAAAACAAGTCTTTGAATAAACTTTCTGGTACCTAGAATTAACAAAGTTATTATTCCTGAGACTAAATTCCACAAATCATTTTCATAAATAGATAGAAAAGGAGAGGTTTTTATTCCAAATGCATTCTTAAATCTTAAGAAAAGAGAATTGGAAAAAAAAAAAAGTTTCTTTTCTTCTTGAAGATAAAAGATTTAATGAGCGACTAATCCCCTCAGTAAAGTTCCTTTGGTAATTGCCCTAAGCTAAGCCACACTAATTTTGCTAGCAGCCTTTGCTGCTAAAAGATGTTGTTTTATTATGTTAAACTCTACACAAAAGCAATGTAAAAAAAAAAAGGCAAAATATGCTTCTGATTTCGTTATGCTACCAACCTATACTTATCCAGAAATTCTAACTGCCAAGTGTCTTTTATCTCATGCAGACTTCATCTTTCACCACCCACCATTCACCACATGAAGTAACAACGTCATTAGGAGTGGAAAACTGTGGGAATAAGAACCTGAGCCCTGGAAAAAAATACTAAATGGGAATCTGCCTCCAGCTCTGCAGATTTTCGAGCTTGCCCTGGCCCCTTGGGTCTGGAAGTGAGACTTTTGTGCCCAGAATATGGCTGGATGAGGAAGGCAGTCTCAAATCACACCCTGAGGGCTCGGGAACAGAACACACAGTCTACAGTCCTCTAAAGAGGTCGGAGGACTTTCGGACCAGAGGATCCTTTCTCATTGGCCCTTGGTGATGTCATGCCCATGTCTCCAGGGCCCAGGAAATGCACCATGACTAATGGAGTGCCTCATTTTCTGTGAATACACATTCCATCTCAGAGGGGCAGCAACAGGCAGAGCTTCAAGGCCAAGAAGCCCAGTGAGAGAATGCCAGTCTGCCCTACACAGAGGGCCTTCAGTAGTCCTGCAATAGGCTGCTCTTGTTCGGCTCAGAAACCCATCAGCAACTGCCTGTATGCCTGTGGCCTGGACTTGGGCAGGATAGGAACTCTAAAATGGGTTCGTTTTGTTTTTTACTAGTAAATTACACTCTTTAAAGAAAGAAAAGTGGTCACTGTAATAGGGCAAACATAACTTCCAGAATTCTAATGTATTAAGGCAGGGCTCAGCAAACTTCTATGAAGGACAAGATAATACAAATTTTAGGCTTTGCAGGCCATATGGTCTCTGTTGAAACTACTCATTTCTGCCCTTGTAGTACAAAAGCAGCCATAGACAATACCTAACCAAATAAGCATGGCTGTAGGCCAGTGATGGCGAACCTTTTGAGCTCGGCGTGTCAGCATTTTGAAAAACCCTAACTTAACTCTAGTGCCGTGTCACATATAGAAATTTTTTGATATCTGCAACCATAGTAAAACAAAGACTTATATTTTTGATATTTATTTTATATATTTAAATGCCATTTAACAAAGAAAAATCAACCCCCAAAAATGAGTTCGTGTGTCACCTCTGACACGCGTGTCATAGGTTCGCCATCACTGCTGTGGGCAGTAACACTTGATTTACAAAAACAGGCAGCATCTGGCTTTGGCCCATGGACCATAGTTAGCTGGCCTCTGTGCTAGTATTAAAGAGTGGACCACCCCTTCCTCTGCCACACACCTGGACCAATGTACTCTCAAATAATAGTGCAGTTGCAACAGGAAAGGATGTGAATGAGTTTGCACAATATACCTGTGATGGTTATCCCATGTAAAACCTGAAGACAGTTTTTACAGTCAGGTTGAGGGTTTCAGAATGTAGGCTCTGGATCAAATGCCTGGATACAAATTCTTACTTTGCCACCTCTGAATTTAAGGCCTTAGACAAGTTACTTTATTTCTCTGTTCCTTGGTTTCTTCATCTGCAAAATGAGGTTCCAAATTGTTCTTATTCAATAGGGTTAATGTGAAACTTCCAGATAACAGACAAAGCTTAGCGTAGTGCCTGGAGTGCTATAGTGCTCAATTATTATCTGCCATTATTGCTAGATTCTTTTTAAAGTGACCATAATTCCTACCCCTGATTATAGTACCCCAAAGTGAAGAGGCATAAATCGCCACAAATGCTAGTTCACTGTGAACTTCTTTCCAATTCCATTAATACTTATTAACACTATCATCATCTTTAGTAGTTGCATAGAATTCCACATGGAATGCACCATAATTGAACCAGATTCCTATAGCTCAACATTTGTTTACTGTCCTTTGCCATTATAAACAAAGGTATAATGAACATCCTTAAACACGCACCTTTGAACACTTGTTCAGTTCTGTTCCTTGGAGCAAAAAGTTATGCACGTTTTCAAAAGAATTTGTAATTATTCTGCCAACTGGCTGCCCAGAAAGGTTACCAACTTCCATCTGTACCAGCACTGAAAGAGAGGATCTGTTTACTAACATTCTTAACAACATTACGAATACTATGTTTTAACACTAAAAAGTCTAAGACCAGGAGAGGTTAAATGACTTGCTCAATCTTAATGAAAATGTGTTATGTGTAATTATCAATAATAATCCCATTTTGTGGTTGAGAAAGCTGGTGCCCAGAAGTTTACTTAAAATAACCAAAGTTCTCCCGATAATGCAAAGGATGCAGAATATGATCAAACTGGAAATAAACTTCATCCTATTATTGGGCCTTGCAAGGCTCACCCTAGCAGGCAAAAGTTAATTTTTAAACAGAAATATACTACTTTCTAGGAGACAAATTTAATTTTTCTTTCTTTTGACAATGAGCTAATCCAAACAGAGCCCTTTTATCTTTGTGTAAAACTAAATAACCCTATACACCAAATGCCGTCTTCCCAGAGGAAAAATTTAAAAACCCTGAGCTTTTGACAAGAAAGTCACAGATCTAAGCATGTGTTAAGATTTACTTCATTCACTCTCTCCTATTATCTTGCATTATTTTCTTCTTAACACTTATCACCATTTAAAATGTATTACTTTTTTGTTTGTAACAACCAAGTCCCATGAGGATAAGGACTCAGTCTCCTTTACTGTCTTTCAGGACCTAGAACAGTTCTGGACACAAAACAAGTGAGTTTTAAATATTTACTGTCTGAATGAATCCTGCCAGATACTAACTATGTATTTCCCCACCTGTACAATCTCCAAGGCAGGCAGGCTTTCGCATTATATAGTCATCCGATTTTCACTCCCTGCTTACAATACTGCAAAACAAACCAGCTTCCTAACGGAGAAGTGTAGCCTGGCACTCACCAGCCAAGTTCCCAGCCAATTCTATCCCAAGCAAACCTCCACTATTTGTTGAACTAAGCCACATGCTCACACATGCTAATATACCAGGCTATCCGGGGAGATTCTGCCACTGTCAGCCCTTGTAAACATACGCACTGATTTTAAGTATTTGGTTGATTGGTTGTTCTCCAAAAAAGCTCCCCAGGTGGATCAGTCCTTAGATATAAGTTTTAAAGTCAAATACACAGTGGTTTCATTTAAAGATGTAATGGATATGGTAGTTAGTGTACTACCCAACGTCCATTCCGTCCCAAATGACTGATCTGGTCCAATGTGGTCCAATATGCTATCCACCAGCCCCACACAGTTACTTACATTTAAATTAATTTTAAAAACTCATTTCCTCAGTTGCACTAGCCACATTTCAAGTGCTCAATAATTGCCAGGCGTGGCTAGTGCCTACTATATTAGACCGCACAGATACCAAACATTCCCATGACTCGAAAAGTTCTACCGGACAGTGTGGGATCTAGTCACACATAGTAATCCTATTCTCCTGGCCCCAAACTGGTTTTTAAATGGGCATGTAAGAGAATTCCGGCCAATAAAACAAACAAAAAAGTCTGTCAAATGGCTCTTGGAAAAGATTTCCTCATTCCTAAAAAAGACGGTCTTACACAAGAGACGGTCTCTCTTCTATCTTGGGAAATGTTGGTTTAGAAGGTGATGGAAATTCTGCAGCCACTTTGTGAGCATGAGGAGAGCCAGCCTGAGGGCAAAGCCTAACAACTAAAGACGGCAGAGCAGTGGCAGGAATAGGAGTCCTTAATGAAATCACAGAGCTGCTTAATTGTTGTCAACTCTGTATGCTTATTTTGTGAAATAACAAAATTATAAATGTCCTGATTAAGTCACTTGTAGCTGAAGCTTTTGTAACTTATAGACAGATGCAACCTAATCCTAGAGCTTCGTTTATATTTTTTACTCTCTTTTAAAAAGGTTCTAAGCAGTCAATGCACGGCTAAAATCTACCAAGAACTCTCCACCTCAATGTCAGGTCCCAAAGTTTGGCTACAATAATGCGAAAGAATATTGTCTCTCACAGATCTGGGCACCTTAGTGTCTTCCTCCCTGTGTTACTCATTTCCATTTATCCTGTCACCCTTTCCTCCTTAATTTAATATTAAAATTAAAATGTAATAGAAAAATATTTTGCATTTGCAAACAAAATTTCCATAGTGAAAGCTCTGCTTCTGATGAAGGCAATAAGAATTCCGGGTAGGATTAGAAAGGTCAGTGTTCTCAGAACTAGGAGTATCCTCAAAGGTCACGGAGTTCAGCACCTTCATGTACAAGTGAGAAAACTGCGGCCCATAGAAATAAAATAACTGTGGTAGACAGAACAAAGGCCTTCCAGAGATGACCATGTTCTACCCCCAGAATTTGTAAATATGGCAAAAGGGATTTTTTCAAATGTTTTTAAATTAAGGATTTTGAAATGGGAAGATTATCTTTGATTATCTAGGCGAGCTGAATGTAGTTATAAGGGACCTTATAAGAGGGAGGGTAGAGAGTAGAAGACAGTAAAAGGAGGTGTAACAGCAGAACCAGAGGTTGGAGTGATGCCCTTTGAAGATGGAAGAAGGGACCATGAGCCCAGGAATGCAGGGCCTCTAGAGGCTGGAAAAGGCAAATAATTGATTTCTCCCCACAGTTTCCAGAAGGAATGCAGCCCTGACAACACTTGGACTTTAAACTTCTCCCCTCCAGAACTAAATTTGTGTTGTTTTATGCCACTCAATTTGTGGTAATTTGTTATGGTAACAATAGGAAACTAATATATATATAGTTGCCTTCCTCTAAGTTACCCAGCTTGTGTTGGTAATGCTAGAATTCAAATCTTCTGACTCTAGGCCCAGTGTTTCTCCTACCAAAACTTCTATGTTACTTCCTTTTCTGTACTACTATCTCAAAGATAGGAAAATCTCACTTCAATGCCTTTACTGTGTTATAAGGAAGAGTAATTGATTAGCTACAATATGAAACCATGTAGTGGCTAACAGCACAGCCTCTGGTGGCAGATGGACTGGTTTTGAATCCTGACTCTACTGCCTATTAAGTGTATGGCTTTGGGAAGATAATCTAGCTATTCTACTCCTCAGTTCCACCATCTGTAAAATGGGGCTAATAATATTACCTAATTATATGATGATGACTTAATTAGTAAAGTATTTGCGAAGAAGGTAAAACATGCCCAGTGCAGAGAAAGCAGTATGTAAGTGTTCTAATAAACTTCTTAAAACATGGCTGACCTATCTACAACCTATCATATGTGGACCTACTCACAACAAACAAAATATTAAAGACTATTGGGTAACAAAAGAAATTTAATTCAAAATTAAATCTGCGACTCAGAATGTTTAACTAATTTTTATTTTATTTTTTATGTTTTTAACTAACACAGTTTAGATCCTATTTTAGGCACATTTGTGTTTGGACACATTACATTTAAGCCACACTACAAATAAATCAGCCAATTTACAGATAGGAAAAGTATCTCATTTATAAACTAAAACCAACATGGAATCACAGTTTTTATAAATAATACAAGAGCAGGATTTTAAAATCATGGACTATCCAAAAGGTATTTGATTAACTGGGTCATTCAAATGGCTGGGCCTCATTTAATAGAATAAGGTGAATTGTAGCCTTTGAGATACCATATTTGAACTCTTCAATCAGGCTCAAGGTAACGTAAGTCTCTGCCAAAAACTTCCCTATTGGCAAGGAAGTGACTAAATATGAGGATGTTCCTCTTCATAACACATTCTCATGTGTATGCTTGTAAGTATTACTTGCCTAGCTTGGTTTTCATCTTAATGGAATGCAACCACTCCCAAAGCATTAAACCATTCACTGAGATTTAGACACACTGTATTTCAGATGAGTGAGAATGATTCTGCAAATAGAGATGGGGAATAAGAATCTTTAATTGAATCAGTAGAACACTGACATACAACTCAAACCAAAAATAGTAATAAGAATGAAAATATAAGCTCCCTGAGGGCAGCACCTATCTTCTCCCCTGCTCCTCTTTATAGCCCTGAACTGGGCACAACCACGACACCTGGTAGGTGCGCAGTATTTGTGGAATGAACAAATGCACTAACAAAGGGACAGGCCATAGGCGAAATGTGTACACACAAGGCACCGTCATGTTTGGGGTGTGTGGAGAGGGAAATATTAGTAATATGGGGTGTCTTCATTTGCGAAGTCAGTGGTACAAGCAGAATTACATGTCTTCTTTCCAGTCTGTAATGAAATCTTACTGAAACTCAAAATGAAACTACCTCCTTAAAGCAGCTAAATTTTCTTTTTCTTTATTAATTAAAAGACCACTGACGAGAAAAACAGGTGTTGGAAAACATAGGCATCCCACTATACTTGAACACTGTGTAGTGAATGATTTTATTCATCTTAAATGTAACCATGTCTAACCTGAAAAAGGATAAGATGGAGCAGGTCATTTGGCAATCTACAACTCTTTAGATCAATCACAAATATGCAAAAGCTATTCCGTCATTACTTCAAATGGAATTAGCTTCATCAAAATTTAAAACGTGAGCCCTGAAAAAGACCCTGCCTGTTAAGAGGGCGAAAGACAACTTACAGCCTGGGAGAAAATACCTGCAAACCACATAGCCAACTAAGTAGGTTTGTCTAGACTATGGAGAGAACTCTCAAAACTCAACATTTCGAAAACAAACATTCCATTTGGAAAATGAGCAAAAAGATATCCACAGACATTCCACCAAAGAAGATACACAGATGGCAAGTAAGCACATAAAAAGATGTTCAGTAACATTAGCCATTAGAAAAATGCAAATTAAAATCACAATGATATGTCACTACATACCTATCAAAATGGCTAAAATAAAAATCAGTGACAGCACCAATGCTGAAGAGGATGCAAAGAAACTAGATGACTCACACATTGCTGGTGAGAACATAAGATGGAATAGCCACTCTGGAAATAATTGGACAGTTCCCTTTAAACTAAAAATGGATTTACTCCACAACCCAGGATTGTACTTTTAGGCACATATCCCAGAGAAATGAAAACTCATTTTCATTTAGAAACTTGTACATGAATGTTCCTAGCAGCTTTAGT